CGAGTCGAGCGCCCTAACCACCTGCCCATGCCGGGCCGCCATGTTGGGATTACGTGGCAGAGACATGTTGCATTCGCCCGTGATTGTTGGCCTCCTCAATAAAATCATGTATTTCTAAATTCCTATTGTTATCGCTTTCTTACATAAAACATAGAAACACGTAATGTTTAATGCATCATCACAAATATTTTGATATTTCACACTTTTGAGATTTGTTTTTAAACTTATACTTCTGTTTTTGTTAATTGATATTATAAAAAACACCAGTTGCCTATTCTGGTAAATTTATTTTTTCATTCAATCTGTTTTAATCGTAACTCTTCCGGATGTTCCACTTGAACGAGTAAATTTTCTTGACAGTTAGAAAGTAAAATTATTAGAAAACCAAGACTGAAAGTAATCTAAGAAAATCATAGCTTAAATAGCTGTATTTTATCTCTAAAAGATCCGTCTTGAGCAAATACAACACGATTACTTAGTAAAATCTAATAAATCGAAGAAGATAACCAAATCTAACATTTTTATATTTTTATTTTTACTGTACAATATCAAATTTCAGATGGAATTGCTCAGTTAGTACTCTACAGATGAATGAGTAAGTTATATTAAAATGATGTTGGAACGTCGCCATGTATCCAAATTCGGCCATACTCTATCTGATGACCATACGTCTTGACAGTATTCCTGCAGTGTGGTTTCCATTGCAAAATGCTCTGTGATAATGCTGTTTTGTCCAAGGAACACTGCTACTTTCCATAATCTATCTAGTATACGAGAATGACGATTTTTCAGTGCCCGTTTTAACATTTCGATCCCGCAGAAGTCAATAGGAACTGCGTCTACAGGTTTGACAGGCATGTCTTCGTATAGATTAGTATAAATAACTTTTTACATCCTGGAGGTGTTTGAGATATGCGGCTGCTGAACGGAGATAAGACTGGAAGCCTTATCTCGGTGAACTTATACCTTGTTTGCCTCGTTTCCAGACGGATATTTTGCTTGATTATATTGAATACTGTTGCCTGGGGCTGACTTTTGCCTCTGACCTTTGTGTGCGTGGATTCTTACTTATTACAAGAGGCCGCGCTTTGCTTACCACGGTTGAAGTCCGACTTATTGCAGGTCTCTTTCTGAATGGTCCTGGTGCACCAAATGAATTCATATTTGTTTTTAACCAATGCCATTCAGTACAAGGGATTTAATCATCCTCTAAATTCTAAATTCCCAATCTCAACACATCATTGTGATCTGAGTTTGTTTCTTTGTTTATGTCAGAAAGAGATGTTTCATACCCTTTCCAAAAATGACCAATTTTCGCTGAAGTTACTCTACTTACGTAATGCCAAACAATGTCAAAATATAATTCTGATACATGCCGATCCCTCGCGATTTTATATCAGCTGTGCTTTTTATACAATTTGCTAAGTTGTATATTCAAAATCTTTTTTAGTATAAGATACTCAACCCTGTATAATATTTCAAAATCATACCGAAACGATAATTAACTACAAAATATGATTTTCAATATATATATATATACATATGTGTGTGTGTGTGTGTGAGTGTGTGTGTTTATGCATAATAATCATAATCTCTTCCCTTAATTCATGCTACTGTTATGTATACATTCTGTTCAATATAAAGAGATTAGTTAGATAACAAAAATAAGAAGTATTACTGTCACACAATAGTCATCGCTACAATTATATATTAACCACAACACGCTTGTCAATATTGGAAAACTATACATGGCTAGCACAAGCAAATGATACCCAACGCCCATGTAGTCGAGTCCCGCTGCACTTATGGCATCTGAAATCAGAACTATTTCTGTTGGGTAGTGCGCCACTTATAAAAACATATTGTGAATATAAATATTAAGAGCAATAGAATAAGCAATAAAAATTAATAAACCATCATCTCTTTCAAACAGTGGTTGGATTAAAAACAAGAACTTACAGTCACTTGATTCGATCTATTTTGTTTCTAAAAATAAAACATATGTGCAATTTTTACAAAGTTAATTTAGAATGGTATATTACTAATGACGCTTCGTTTTTGCTAATAAATGATGCTATGAAAATATTGGTGCTTCATTAGATCTAGTTTATTTCATACGTATCTTTCAGCATTTAGGTTTGAGTTGAAGCTGTCATGGATAATGTTCATTACCATTCTGCTGTGCTACTGATATGGCATAGTGTTTATAGCAATGTACTGGGTAATGGCGTTTTATGTGATGTGTGGTTTTACTTTTTTGTTGTTTTTTCAGCAATATGTGCGTCTCAGTAAAAGCCAGGACATTTGTTTTGATAGTGTTATACTTTTTAATGGTGACTTACCATTGTAGACTGGTAAGTGAACTTTCTGTTTTATATAGATAATTTCTTATATCATGGTTCAAAAATAGTTTTTAAATGTTATATATCTTGTTACTAAAACAATATTAGTATTAAAATATATATATAATATTTATAGTAGTCTATAAATGATACATAAATGTAACAAAGCATTACTGGTAGGAAACGAATATTTGACTTATATTAGGCAAGTATGTTTCTTGCCGTTAAAGATAAAAACTTGGGTTTTGTTTAACTGTTAACGTACAAGGGTTATCGTTCTCTGCTGAAAGAGTACTTGTATGTATTTTTGACAAACTACTGTTGTGTCAGTAGAAAATGGGCGATAACCTCTTGAAAGCCCTGTATTACGTCAATAACTACTGTTAATTCTTTACCTAATGATAAGTATTCTTACCACTTAAACAATGAGATGGCAGCAAACATTATTGAACGATGCGAAAGTTGTCGTTTTTTGTCCATCTTGACGTCACTGCATGGTAGCACAGACACATCTAACCCTCATTACGCAAAGAGTAATTATATTTCCTAAAGCCATGGACCGATAAAACTGTATCCTTCCTGCGCTTCTTCTGGTTCTAAAGCACTGATTGAACTCAGCTAAATAAAGAATAAAGAAGTGTTCAGCGACCACTTTTTATATAGATCTAATAACATTAAACTTTCTATCTAGTCTGTTAGCTCAAAATTATAATTGTTTATGTGTAGACAGCCCTTGCATAGCTTTGCGTGAAAATTCTGAAACTAACAATATGAAAGATTTTGCTAACTTCATTTACAATATGCTACTATTAATATGCTAATATTAATAATGACGCTTCTTGTTTGTATCTATTTTCATTGACGCTTTTATGAATAACACTGAATTAGTAGCTATATTGATTTCACATTAACTTAATTACATTGATTTCCGATATGAATAAGATTGTCAGGTATAGGTGTGAAATTTTTATATGCAATTTTATAAACATATTGTTTCTGGCATGTTGAAATTGGTAAGCTACTTTTCAGTCATACCGTTATCTAAAGAATGCTAGAACCATTATGTTACTGCTTATATCACGATCAGTCTCATCAGTCTTACTTGTATGAATATCACTAGATAGCGATTGTGCAAAGAAAGTTTCAAATGAAGCTGCTCTCAGAAAAGTTTACGTTAAAAATTACAAAGGCGATTCTGTTTACTCCAAAATACTCAACAATACCAGAATCAGGCAGTATCGAGTCCTTGTTACAAATAAATTGAAAAGTATCTGTCTATTGTCACTAATTTAAGATGAAAATATATTTTAAAAAGATCCAGATCGCTGAAAGAAAAAAAAAGAAACAAATGACCTGTGTTTCAGTCTAGGCCAAATATTAGGGCCTAGCTATTGAAGCTCTTTTGGCTGAAATTTTGGCAGTTGTTTTTTCTTTCTTTGAAGTGGTTTTTAACCGTATTTCATATACTTAGATATCATCATACTGCCAACAGATTTCATAGACAGACGTGAATGACTCAGACTACCCCTTGTTTGTTAACTGATTTAGTAAATGGATGTGAATGACTCAGTCTACTTCTCTTGACTGTTCAACATAATGTTTAAAATCATTAAAGAAGTTAGGAAATCATAATAATTTTGTATTACCAGAATGGTAAATTATTCTGATTTTTCTATAAAAGGATAGTTTTATAAAAAAATAACAATTATTAAATCATTACAGACTTGCATTGTTCAGCAATTATACAAGCCTTTTGGTATGATTGGCACTAAGATAATTACTTTGTTTTCTGTTTGATTACAAAAAGAATGTGATTACACTTACTCATAAACAAGCTCTTCTAATGTCAGGCATACCATTACTTTGTGTAGTGAGAAATAACACACATTTGTATTTTTGAAATACATTGAATGGGTAACTGTATATTGTATTGGACAGGTCGTACCTGTCCCCTTCTGGTTTTTTAAATGTGATTTACAAAGCTTTTTATATTCTACGTTTTTATATTATGGTGGACTTTATTAATAAACTTTGGATAAAAAGTTTGAGGTTTGGATAAACGAAATTATTCGAAATCTACAATACAACATAGTTGAAACCTGAAAGGTTATATTTTACTTCTGCAATATGTAAATATTTATGACTGTGAAATTGTTTGTGCATCACATTTGCTTGTTTGGATCTCATACCTTTACCTATAACTAGAATAACATTTATAAACAATTTGTTATTTTGTATTATAGAAGGTTACATTACAAATAAGAACATTTGAAAAAGACACACTATGAATTAATTTTGTATTTGAAAATATTTATGTTATTTAAAGTTAAGATCTCCAACAACGATGCGATTTTAAAATGCTAAACTGTTTTTTTTTTTGTTTGTTATCTTAAAACGTTTAATTTAAAACAGATTGAAATTACGTCACGCCTGGATTTTCTGTGGAAGGCTCAGGCTCAGAAGGAACTTCAAGATATGAGAGAAATACGCCATTACAATACACAGCTACTTAAGAACATCCTTCCAGATCACGTTGCTTCGTACTTTTTGGCACATGACCGAAATTATGAAGTAAGAGTTAAGTAACGGCAGTTAGCTTTTTTATTTCAGATTAAGTTTATTTTATTTTAACTGACTCAAATGAGGTTGACAATCTCAGAATAAATACACAGATATTAGGGACGTAATATTAATAATTATGTTCTTTTGTGAAATTAACTCAACTTTCTTCCAATGAGAATATAACATATAAAATAATGCTGCATCTGAACTTTATTTACAAAACATAACATATTTGGAAAGGCAGAACTAAATGCAAGATATATATAAAACAACCTTGGATTGGTAATTATGGTATCATCTAATAATCTTACTAATGTTACTTTTATGTCTTAAAGGATAAGACTTCATATGACTTCCTGAATATTAATGAAAAAACTATTGAAAATCTGACTATTTAATTATGAAAAATATTTAGTTATAGTTAATTTATGACGACTCTCAAGCCCTTTTTTTAACGTTCAGCATCACAATTTCGAATTTAGTACACTGTAAAATTAGTATTTAATTGCCTTTTAAAGTTTTCATTAAAGAACAAAACATTCATTCTCATATTAAACTTATTTGTTCTTCAGATAGCATTTTACTCCCACGTAACCCTTTATTTATTCTACCTTTGGTTACAATCAGAAAACAAATAATTGTAATCGTATTATTCAATATATTGTTTATTTATCAAAAACCTATGCTTGATGAGAGAAAGAGACAGACTATATCAAAAAGCAAAGGCTAACGATGAATCAAAATGATGTTTATATTTTTTACTAACGTTTGGATACTTAGGATAGAGCAACTTTACATTCAGGAAGTAACATTGTCAGTTTATTTTAATGGTAATATCTATTGTATCCCTTAAAATAGGAACTATATGCCCAGTCCTATGCTTGCTGTGGTGTTCTGTTTGCATCCATTCCAAATTTTGCCAACTTTTACTCAGAAGATGTTAATAACGGAGTGGAATGCATACGTCTTCTCAATGAGATAATTTTTGACTTTGACCAGGTAAATACTTTATAATTCTAATATCATGCAAATTATTACTCATGTAATAAAGAAGAAATATAATAAAATATGACACTTCAAAATAAAGTTTAAATTTATCAATGACATTATAGTTTACTTGAAAAAATCAAGTACAAGAAATTATTAAGAATTTGAACCGAAAATATGAGACCTTTGCACGATTTATTATAATAACATTTTATTGAATCAAACTATTTTCATCAGAGCCCGTATTAAATTTATACGGGTAAGAAAAGAAAACATTCGCGAAGACGATTTTCAAATAATACTAAGCCTAATCTTCGTTTATTTCATCATACTGTAAAATAGTCACTACTGTTATCTTCAAAGCATCTGTCAACGGCTAAGTCTAAAAGTTATTTTCCGTATCTTCTTTTCCTATTCATATGAACATAAAGCACACTTCGTTTTCAGAAATAATATTACAATAAACGTGAAAATTATATTAGAAGGTGTTTAAATGCATGGTAAGCATGAAAAATAAATATCTTGAAACTGTGAGTTACTATTTTTTAAGAATCAGATTCATTAATAGTTGTGGTACTTTTAAGTTAAAATACAAGTACTAGATTAAACTATCTGAGGTTTCTGTTCTATTATTATAACTCCTGTCAAGTAAATATATATATATATATATATTTACAATTTACAAGTCTAGCAGATTTAGTTATACATGTTTGTGGAAAATAAAACTCTTAATCTTTGTTACGCAGCTTTTGGATGACGAGAGATTTTCCTGTCTAGAAAAGATCAAAACAATTAGCAGCACGTACATGGCGGTATCAGGACTTAATCCTGACGATCAGGTGTGTTTCAGTTTTTCCAAACATGCCACGATTTTATTGAAAATGCGATGGTAGGGAAACTGTCTTATTATTATTTGTTTAATAGTAAAAACATTAACTTTGTTGAGGTATTAAAATTGTTATGTGAAGTTATTTTTAAAATTCCAAATAGTACTCTAGTTTTTTACAATCCTTGAAAATGTGGATATATAGATAGTATCCTAAGTTTTGATAGCCATGCCATAAAATTAGTATTCTAAGTTGTGACAGTCATAACATACAAGAAATAATCTAATTTGTGACAGTCATGGAATACAAACTGTATTATAAATTCCGACAGCATGGCATACAAACGTATTCTAAGCTTTGACAGTCATGGCATACAAATATTATTCTAACTTCTGACAGTTATGACATACAAACAGTATTCTATGTTGTGACAGCCCTGATATGAAAATATTATTCTAAATTGTGACAGTCCTGGATTAAAAATATTACTGTAAGTTGTAACAGTCATGGTATGCAATCAGTTGTGACAGTCGTAACATACAAGCAATATCCTAATTTGTGACAGTCATTGCATAGAAACACTATTTAACTTCTGACACTTGTGGCATGCAAACTGTATTCCAATTTATAACAGTCATACCATAAAAACAGTGTTCTAAGTTTTGTGACAGACATGTCATAAATGTTGTATTTTTAATATTGGTTCTTCTATGTGTCATGGAAACTTGATTTCGACCTATACTTATGAAACATACATTTATGAAGGTAGTCTCTAAAGTAGAAACCAATCCGCTACACGAGGCATGTGTGTGTATGTAAAGAGATCATTACTCTATGAGTTTGGGTTGTAATACACCTTATTTTGGAAAACAGCTAATCCACACTACATCTTTCCCGGTTATCCAATAGTGGCGTTTTAGCTTATCTGCTGTTTCCAGGGTTGTAGCTTATTATCTTCTCTTATAACTTGCTTTGGAGACTTAGAAAAAGAATGGTTAAATTACAGCCTCTGTATACGAATGAATAAGCTTTCTTTTATACAAAGGCTGTTTTCGTCATTGCCATTAGTTAAGTCCCAAATAATTTGAATTGATGACCTCTAAACACTCACTAAAGGCATTCAAAAATACGCTCCATCCGTGACCTTAAATTTGTATGCTATTTCACACGTTTATGCAGCCATCTTGTAGCAGATTCTATATAGCTTTGACTGCAACAAAGACAAATACATTTATAGCTACATCTGATATTCTTGATACATATACATAGCGAGAGAGAGAGACCGAATTACTCCACTAAGAATATCAAATGTAGCTATATCGGTAAAGTTATATATAGATATATAGCTTTACCAATGTAGGTAAATCTATAAGAGTTAAACATTTAGGAGCTTATACATTGGCGACTTTAAGAAGTTTCGTTTATTCAAATAGTCATGAATTATTCTGTCTATAGATATTATTAAGCTCTTTATGCAAACATTCATAAGTGTATGAGATTTTACGTGTGCGATAAATTAAGATCTTCGTTAAGTTTTTCTTTAACAAAATTGGTGTATAATTTGTAAATTTGAAGTATATAAGCTAGTAAGCGTCTTTTAATAGTAAACTTCATACTCGAAGTTACCATTACTAATAGCTTTTGTGTAGCTTTGCACGAAAATTCTCAAAATAAACAAAACTAGTCACTATTCCTGCAACTAAGCTTAATTTTTAATATTCTCAGGCTTTATATTTTGTTTTCACGAGTATTAGATACTCTGCTAGACTCGAATCTGTTGAATTCAACACTATGCTTAAAACAATACAGTCATTGTCAATCATTTCCACAGATACTCACACGCGCATTAACTGGGGCAAAGGTTACCAAATAATCGTTGTTTTCTTTGGATTCTGACTGATTCTAACTCCCAACCCCGAAATACATTTTTCTAGAATTACAATAGTTTCAAACAAGCTGTTATTATTATTGATTTCTCGAAAAGCAAACTTAATCGATATTTTAATAGTTTGAACGCCACAGGATCAGGAATTATATCGACAAATCTCGTCACCCATAAAACAAATAAACAAAACATCAAGAATTATTTATGTTACAATAACAATGCATTCTTATATCGTAAACACCATTTGGTGAATTACATTAATAATTTAAATAAATGTTCTTATCAGCTGAATTACCAAACTTTCTTGAGAATTAGATGATTTCAGCTTCTCATACACACTATTAATGATATTCTTCAAATTTATGGTGTAATCTTTATAAATGTGTTCGGATACAATTTGACTACAGAGAAGAACAATAATTACTTCAGTTTTAATTCAACATAACAGATCCAAATATAAATCAAAGCATTTTATATTTTGATTTTGTGACTCATCAACAGGATTGGGTGTCCATCGCTTTGAGTTTTATGTGTGTCATTCATACACACGGCAGTAGTTAGGGCAACACTTGAGTGTCCAAAGGATGCTGCCTCAGTGGGAGGTCGTCGTTGAATAGACGTCAAAGGATGCTGGCCATTGGGCGGTCTCCTTTGAGACCATAGGTCACGTAACGTCATAGTTCTAAACTGTGCAACCATACGGCGTGTTGCTAGGGGGGGGGGGGACAAGGGAACCAAATTGTAGGATGATGAGGTGCAAATATCAAGTGTCTCAACATGTGATTAAATAAACATCAAAATTTAGATTTCAAAAGGTTTGATATTAAACACAAACAATTATGGGATAATAATGATAATAGTATATACATAGCAACATGAGATCTGTAAATTATAATTTAACTGTAACTGACTTGTGATAAATTTAACATTGTTTATTCTGTTATGATAATCAAGTCAAATATATACTCTATCTGTATTTTAGAAACATTTAATTTTTACATGAATGTTGAAAGTAGAAGACAAATATATTTATCTTTTAGGCCTGGCATGGCCAGATAGTTTGAATCCCCGTCCCACCAAACATGCTCGCCCTTTCAGCCGTGGGGGCATTATTACGTGATGGTCAATCCCACTATTCATTGTTAAAAGAGTAGCCCAAGAGTTGGTAGTGGGTGGTGATGACTAGCTGCCTTCCCTTTAGTCTTACACTAATAAATTAGGGACAGCTAGCGCAGATAGCCCTAGTGTAGCTTTGCGGGAAATTCAAAAATAAACAAACAAACAATTTATCATTTGCCATTACAATATTAGTCAAATGTACAAATGAATTAAATCATACACTTAAACAAAATTGAATAACATACTCGTAAGAATTTTGTACTAGCAAAGTAAAAACTATAATTTATTATGTTTGGATTTATTGTTATGCAGAAATGCATTGTCTATGATGTCACTATTTCCTAGATTCCCTGTAGACTCCTCACTCGATGTATGAGTCAGCAATCAACAGTTGAACTGACCTTTACACATGTGCAGAAACCAATTAGTTTATTATATGCATACATAGTTTGTTTTATGTATGTTGTACATTCATTTATAGTTATATCAAATAGGCTACACTGTAAAATAATAAAGTGTTATCAATTTTATTTGTGTATTGTGGGTTCCTTATGTCAAAAAATTATACCTACCAATTGCCTCTGTGATCTAGTGTTTTGTACTTCAAGGTGAATGCTATACAGGAAATTATAGTGAGTAAAATGGCAAAATATTCTTGTTTCACTTGATTTAAATAATAGTAAAGTTTACTTTTTTACTACATTTGTTCATTCAGTTAGCTTGTATGGTTGAGATGTAGAGTTTGAATGTTTTAGGTTAACACAGTCCTGTATTTAAAGATCATCTAGTATGCATGGGTGTGTAAGATCGTGCTTTATATTTGTAGAGTTTGAATAATTTAAATATAAAACAGGATTACATATATGTGTTAGTATATGAATATAAGTCAAATATAAAGTCAAAGCGTACTACATTATAATTAGTGAAATATACATTATATATTTAGAGATTAAATAATATATTTATAAAATATTAAATATATCTTTTCAGGACTATGTATTTATAATATAAACTAGTAAAATTTTAAAAAAGTATGTTATACAAATTAGATGTAATGTTAGTTATAAGGTTTTGTTTATTAAAATGTAACTATTGTTATGATCCTGTATTACCATACTATATAATAGTTAATAAATAAAAACAAATAATGACAACTCTGCAAGTTGATAGTTATAGAAATATATTATAAAAAACACAAACATCAAATATTAACTTGTATACAATAATTTACAAAAAATACAATAAAAAATACTTATTCTTGATAGATTCACATAGGAACTGTCTCTCCAATTCACAACTAGATGTATGGTTATAAAAGTTGTCACTGTTCAAATGTCCACTGCACCAAAACTTGTCGATATTTTCAGAATGGTTTTCAAAAGTTCTCAAAAACATCAAGGCTTACAAAAGTTACAAAAAGTTAAGACTAATTATTAGACTTACAAACAATTTAGAGTCAAAATAAATAAGCCAATGTTAGCTTATAACAAAAACCTAGATTAATATCTAGGTTGACAAACTCTTCCGAGTCAATACAGAAATGTCTGTCTCAAATGGCCACTCGAATTAAACAAAGCCCAAACACTAACACTTTCAAAAAACCTCTTTCTAACCGAAGTTTGAAACCTTTTATATAAATGCCAAAAAATTGTTACTCAGCACGTGCATAATATATATCATGTAATAAAAAAAAATCATTAGTTAGGTGCACATAATTATTCAAGCGATATGCCTACAGCACCTCACAAAAAAGCTTTCACTAAAATATCACACAAATACAAAGATATTACAAAAATACATAATCATAACACTATAAAGTTGACCATAATGATAAAACTAATGTTAAGAACTAAAGGTATTAAAATAGTAGTTTTTGTTTTTTAATGTGATACATACGACATATATATATATATATATATATATCTAGAGTTTGAATGTTTCACATATAAGCAACAAAAACAGTAAGTTTGTAAGTTAAATTACTGTATGGAATAAATATTTAGAGATTGAAAACTTTAGATAAACATGAAAAAAGTTTTTTCAGGAACATATAAAATAAACTAGTATAATTGTAAAAAAGTATTTTATACAAATTAGATGTAATGTTAATTTTAAGACTTTGATCATTGTTGAAGTGAATACTATCAAGTTGATGATGTAATCACACATTGAAACACATTGGTATTTGTTAATTGTTTGTAAACCATCTGCAAGCTCATCATCCTAGACTTTGTCCTCTATTTCTGCCCTCAGTAACATGCACGATGGTGGCACAACTTGGAACTATGACATCTTATTCTCAAAGAGACCACCCGCTGAGTGGCATCTTTTGACCTCCACTTACCAATGATCCTCACTGAGGCAGCATCATTTGGATAGTCAAATGCTACTGTAACTATACACAGCTAGCTGTTTTATAATTGTATGAATTTTAACGTCTACCATGTTGTCTGAAGTAAGGAAGGCTGTTTTCTTGGTTTTCTGTATACCCAATATTTTAATCATTTCATAAAATAGCACTTCTTCAAGTCCTTAATCAGAATACGTTTTCTTGATTACTTCATATTGTGACATAAGCTCACTAATCAGCTTCCAAAACATTGTTCTAGGTCTTTTGTTGTTGTTTGATACACCATGAACCTCCGTTTCCTTTGTGAAGTAGTCGATTACCATTAATCTACATAATGAATTTTCCCATCATTTGCACTTTGATTGATTTTTCACATAGTCACTTCAATGTACCTATTTCCTAGTGATACACTTTTGAAACTTCAGTTTCACGTGTTATAAGGTCGTCAATTTTGGTTTCCTGATCTCTAAGTGTAGCAGTGTGAAAACTGTCCAAAAACATATCACCTCACAAACGTATCTCTTCATCACATTTATCTCTAAAATGTACTCATCCTCCATGGCTTTCGTTAGTATATTATATTCATATACTTCTACTGACAAGAATGTGATTCAGTTCTCTGTTCACTCACACTTTGTCACCACTTGCACTTCACGTTATCTATTCTCTTGGATAAATTGAGCAGGCATTTTTCTTTCCTTGAGTGTGTATCAGACTAAATATAAGTGTCTTTAGATTCAGTGTGATAATTATGTAACATAAATATTATTTTATGATTCATTAACTCTTTAGAAAACTTCTTGAACTAGCAAATTCTTCATCACAAAAGAAACATTTGTTTCATTACACCAAAATTTTAGCTCCCCACCCCGTTCATCTTATTTATATTTTTTACAGATCTTTTATAACATCACCACACTCTTCTATTTCTGTCTTTGCGATCTTCCAGAGATATATTTTGAGCTTCTCTTTTGAAATTATTTGTTACATTGTTTCTTTATGGTCAAAGATGAAATACACTACTTAACCATAAAGATAACTTTCATTTAATTGACTTTCATATGATTGTTGCTTTCCACATTCCAAAGCATAATGTTTCTTGTGCACATTCTTGAAACACTTTTCATTCATGATGACTTTTATTATGAACAGTGATGCAGTCCTGCAGGGATGCAAGAGAGTGCCAATCTTTCACTTTGTGTATATGGGGAGTGCCACTCCCAAACTTCAAATGCAACTTATTTCCCGTATAACTTTTCCATATTATCAAATGTGATAATTCGATTAAAATCATGTCTCTAATATAGAAGACTTTACATAAAATTAAGTTTTTATCATTAGCTGAAAGTTCTCTGACCTTGCATAGACTACTGTTTTACAATAATATCTCTTAAGCAATGACTTTTTTGAATTAATTAATAAATATAGTAGCCATATCAAATAACCAGTTTGATAATGAGCTGTTCTGTCGGAGGGGAGTGGGAGATAAGGGAAAGTATGGCAACTCCTCACTTCTAAACTTATTTCTTCATCACTGCTTATGAAACTTCACATTATATATCATAAATCGATCTTATAAGCCAGAAGATTAGCTGTGTGTAACGAATTTGTTGTTATGTATTTATTTTAATATCATTGCTTTTTAGATTAAGTTTATATTTAAAAACATGCATAGCTGGCAGTGTTAGACATGTATTGCAAAACTCCCGCCAATTCTCCAAAGTTGTAGACGGTTCTCGAGAGTAGGAATCAACAATATATCTATATACGTAAACGTTTAAATGTAGCTCAGTATTGTTATGTAATCTAAATTTTCTAGAAAACCTTCCCACGCCAATAAGTACAACCAACTCGACGCGCCAAAAGGGGAGTGTCTATTAGTAGTTCGCTATAATCAGTGTGCTATAAACTTCGAAAGCAACAACTGTGATTGTTATAACGCTTATCAATCGAAAATCTTCAGATATTTGGCCAGGAACATTTACAAAGTTCGAACATTACAAATTATTTATCTTCAGTGGATTATCATCGGACATTAATATTTCTACGAAGACATTATATAAATTCAATGGTGGAAAAACTCAGCATGTGGGGCAAAGGACAAAGCTAGCTAGCTTCCGGGCGAATCGTACCTACATCGTACTTAACTCGCTCTTTGTGAAAACTCGATAAGATATCAAGGAAGTTCCAGACTAGAAAGAAAACATTACATTGTTTGTAAGTTTGTGAAACTTTTGTTTATAAACCATTGTTTGTAATAACTATTTGTAATAATTGTTATTGTAAATTGTATTGTTGTGTGTATATTAAAACGTATTTGTGTTAAAAACGAAAATGGTGTGTATCAAGCTTGTTGGCAAATATCATATACTGTCTATATATCGTCTTTAATGTAACTACTAAATCCAAAGCACAATTTAACTACTAAATTTAAATTATCAGTTAACTGGCTTCGGACTATTCGAAATTCTAATACGTAACAGCTGAAATTGACTGTCCTGTATACTTCTTAGTTGTTTGCAGCAATATAGATTTTTGCTACAATAGGTTTAATAATGTTTGTCATTGTAATATTGTTGTTTAATTCTAATCTGATGTATGCATGTATTCATCCTAAATGACATAGTTGAACTCTTCTCCTACCAATGAATCCAGGGTTCCTTTAGCTTATGCCTGGTTAGAACAGAGGAGCAAGGCATTCCAAATCCTCATCAAGTTACAGAAGATTTAAACCAAAGAATATCCTAAAGCGTTTTCAACAAAACACCAACCTGCAACCTCAATTTAATAAATCAGTATGTTGTAGCTATATTGCGTTTTTGTGTTAGTTATAAACTTAATTTTGCTCAGGAAAAGATACTTGGCATCATATTGTTGCTTTGGTTGGCTTCACGCGTGTTTTGACAATCACTGATAAGTTACTGACAAGAGTAAACACTTATGACAGGCGATTATTCTGGATTTCTATCTATGGTAGATTGTTGAATGTTGCTAAGACTGGACTATTCAGATGCACAGCTTATTGTTTTTTAGTCATTCTGTTCACTTAAGAAATAATCTGTAATTGAACAGAGCTTCCCCCACATCATAATTTGTATTTCTCTGGTCTAGAAAGACGAAATTGGTTTAAAAATCTTGTGATCTCCGAAGTGTTTTAGCCATGCTAAAGATTGCTTATCTAAGAAGATTGAAGTGGTGACTGGAATTACCCTTGAACACTAGCAGTCTAATTATCAAGCACATAATCTGATTCTTAAACTGGTCAATGCTGTCTGACAGAGTTATTGGCTTCCACAGGAATGATGAGTTTTATCCATAGAAAATTTGACATCAGCAATTTTTTGCCCATCATTTTTAAAACTTATACTTCTAGAAAAGACTACTTATTTGTACATCTTCATAGTTTTCGTGCATCCCTTTCATGAAGCATTTATAGAACTTTGAACACAGATGAAATTCACATCCACGTTTTAGTTTTATTCCCAATTTTAAACACTATCAAAGTGTGTATGTTCATGTGCCATATTACACTGCATCTTGAGCAAATTGGTAAACCTAATATGTATGGTCCAGCATGTTGTGTATGCTAGTTTATTAAACTGAGGTCACTTGTGAGAGTTAAATTGGAAAGTTTTATGGCATTATTCATTTTAAACCTTCAATAAATATAATAGCATTAAAACACAAACTTTCTTTCCTTACCAACATACCACTTAAGTGAACTTAAAATTAGGGAACAAAAACAAAAATGATGTTAAAGATTTATAGAATCTTTGAAAGAACAAGACAGCGGCCTTAAAACAATACATAATAACAACAGCACACAAAACTTGACAAACTTGAAACACTGAAAGATGCATGACTAAATTCAGATTGTATTTTTCATTAAAAAGTTTTAAATACATTCCATGCCTAGACAACACATAGGAGTCAATGTTTATTTTAAATGTCAATGGCAGAAGCGGGTGAGAATGGCAACAAATGATAAACCAGACCCCCGCAGGTCAACTACCAACACATTAGTTTTTATCCATTTTACAACTGTGTAGACTGAAGCATTTGAGGTAAAGAATCTTTCTCAAGGAAACAGCGACAAGGCATGTGCAAGCCTCGATCCCACAGTCTTTCTACTACAGACCCAAAGCACTAACCACTGTGCTCCTCTCCCTAAAAACTATGTTTGGTTTTCTGGTAATTATTGTTTAAGTTATATTACGTTTCCATATTACTTATGGACATATTTCTGTTTTAGGATAAAGATCCTTGGCATCATATTACTGCTTTGGTTGACTTCGCTCTGGCAATGAAAAAAGCTTTGGAAGAAGTTAATACTCATTCATTCAACAATTTTCAACTTCGAATCGGTAAGTTACATCGTAAGCTTGCTATTGGTAGAAAATAAGAGTGTTTACAAATGTAATGTGGGCGCGGCATGGCCAGGTGGTTAAGGCGCTCGACTCGCAATCTGAGGGTCGCG